ATCAAGGACAATCATGGTTACTTAGGTTCACTGTGTCTGGTGTTAAGACAGATACTCACAGATTACATTGACTGATGATGGAGTTCTGTATCATGAGTTGGCAGAAACGAGAGTTTATAGGTCACTGGATTCGTTCCACTATCTAAATGATCAGTGAATTCGCTTTGTTAACTGGATATCCTGGATGAATATTGCTGAACAGTCCCATAGTAGGACGAAATAACTGTCAATTACTATCCAGTTTTTGGTGGAATCAGTCTAATCCCTGTGAACCAGCATTTGTAAGTAGTCCATTCTGTGAATTCACCAGGTGTCATTTAATTGTACCAACTTTTTTTCAAAAATAAAAGGGATTATCTACCTTGATCATTTTATGAAATAAACATCAATAAACCTCTGGTTCGGGTATTAATTCAAACGTTAAAACGGTTATTGTTAGGTTTATGGTGTTAGATTGCATCTTTCTTTGCTACGTTATGCCTTAAATTACGAGAGAGAGTTTAAAGTCTTAGAGTAAACTACTCTTCAGTGTGATGAATGTTAAACAATGTAGACGTTTGTATTCTACCTTGTTTACTCCATTTCTAAGTTGCTGTATTGACAAATAAACATAAAACTGTATAGTCTCCTTTATGGTCGATACAATATTTATATCTCAATACTTCGGTAGAGCGATTTGACTCGCTATTTCACAAGGTTATTCGGATAAAATTCAAATATATTTTAAATGAGATTTCTAGGTTTATCAACATCTTTACATTACTTACGACCAATATTAGTCATTTATTTGTAAAGGATTAGAATTTTCAGATTTATGTTATTAAACTTCACCTATCATGCTGAGATGGATGATAATCAGATATATACAATGTTGTGAATTTCAAGCAACAGGTAATGAATGATCAAATGTTGAATTACAATATTTAACTTTTTTTATAATTAGGATTTACATAAATGCAGCATGGCTTTTAGGGAAGAAGTTTGTCGCCAACAAAAGTTGATACCTTGAATTATAACAGAGTTATAAACTAATCTCCATGTATTACAGATATTTAATTATACAAATAATAATGATTACACCTTTCTCATTGATAACTGTTTTAATTTCTATCTGGTTAATTTTATCTGTCTACCTACCGACATTACTTTTACCTTAAATAAAGCGGTCAAACTAGGACTCCAGATTGAACAAATCACCACTAGGTAGTTCCATGTTTGTATGTTCAGTATTTATATTTTGGTTAGGCGTCAAATAAAAGGTAAGAATAGGAAATTAGTCCACCAGGTTGTGAAGCTGCCTTATTTGAGGTGCCTAGGAAACATGTAAAATATACCAAGCCACCGTCTTCCTCATCCAGTAATGTTATCTGACATAGGAATGGACTGAAAAGAGTTATGAGTATTTAAATCAAAACATGGCACCAATCCTTCCAGTATTTGACCGTTAGTTCAAGCCACATAATTTCATTGAGATGCCATGAATGTGTAACTGTGGCCTGTTTGTGGTTTGGCTCAAAATCTTTCTCATTAGCTTTAGTCTCCTAGATTCACTAAATTTTCATCATTCTGTATATAAATGTCCCTTCACCGGTGAATTTCTCTTTAACATAGTCCATATACATTTCTTTCCCTCTCTTCTTCCACCTCTGTTTGTACTTTCTTGAAGCATGGTAACTTGAATTGGTGCACTTTCGCGCAGATCTTTACGACAAAAACTCAATTTAGTTCAGCGTATTTGTGTATTCGCAGTATGTATAGCATTCATCTTAACAGTACATTATTGTCTACTGAACAGTATAGAGCGTAAAGTTGTCTGTGAATAAGATTAAAGAATATTGCCAGTTAAGTTACTTCATATAGTAGATACCAGCTTCGACAAAGAAGTCAAATTCCAGGTTAATGAAACGATCAATACTATTACAAATTAATACAAAGATGATAAAATCTCTGTCAATGTCACCAAAACATACAGTTGTATATATTCATGCAGAATCCTAAAATCCTCATTTTTACATTAAGTAGGCTGACAATATGTTACCTAGAAGGACCATAAAGACTTTGGAACTAAATCATCGGGTCCGAAAATAAAAACCATATCCATTTAGATATCATATTCATTAAGTATTATGTTCCATTGCCGTATGTACCATGTATCAGTAACAGTTATTTTCTATGTGCATAAATGTAACACTAAATTCAACATCAGTTTTCGAAAGTAAATGAATGATAATAACAACGAATATACAGTAATGAATGCTCATGACTAGTGTTCGGATTAAATTCTATTCCTCCTGATTATGAATTTCGTATAAATTCAAGCATCATTTTAACTACTGGCGGAACTAACGAGGATATCAAGGCAAGGATTGGAAAAGCAAGACAAGCTCTCATTACTCTCAAGTCTGTGTGGAGGTCAGCAGCACTCAACGTCAAAAATAAGATCCGGATTTTCAACTCCAATGTGAAGTCAGTCAGTGCTACTCACTATACGGATCAGAGACTTGGCGAGTCATAAAGAGAATCTCCAACAAACTACAGACCTTCATTAACAGTTCTCTTCGCTCAATACTCAAGATCAGATGGCCTTCCAGAAGAGATCAGCAACAGGGATCTCTGGCAATGGGGGAACCAACCAGGAACTGAATGTGCAACAAATATGCAGGGAGAAATGGAGGTGGATTGGCCATACGCTGAGGAAACCATCTAGTGACATCACTAGACAAGCCATTGGTCGAGTGGAACCCGAAAGGGAAGCGGCGAGTTGGTCATCAGTGCAGGGGTGACTTGGAGGAGTTCATGTGAAGAGGAGATGAAAGCATGTGGACAGACTTGGAGCCAGGTGAAAACTCTAGCAGAGAAGCGAACGCAATGGAGACTTGGGCGGCTGAAGCCCTATGTTCCTCTAGGAATTAAATAAATAGTAATTATAATAATAATAAATTTCGTATGGATGAATGATAATATTAAAAGTACGGAGAGAAAATCGACTGGAAGGTTATGTGTGTGCATGTGTATGTGTGTGTCAGTGTATAAGAAAACGAATAAGTTTAAATAAAAAAAACAAAAGGGTACAAATCAGACTTCTTCAAACCATAAAAACAATGAAGATACACACGTTAAATCCTGAACTCTGCATGTAGAAGAAGTTTGTTCAGTCATTAAATCTCCAATAGACGTGATTTGTCATAACACCGAATGCTTAATTTTTATTTTTGGTTTTTTAATATAGCGAAAACATCCATTCTGGCATTTGGAATAAAACTAAACAAAGAATGTCTTTTTTGATAATTTCCTCTTGTAGCTCTACAGTTATATGTGCACATATACATATTTATATACGCAGAATATTCTAGAATTGGTGTTTTTAAATACAAACGATTTGTTAAGTAATATCAATAGAATTACAGCTAACGAAAGATGCATAAATTATAATAAGCATAAAAATGTAATAGTAAATAGAATACCAAATAAAATTAAGGAAATTTCCGCAACAAACTGAGGATCGTTAAAACCTTGATGGTCAAGGTAAGGACAGTGTCTGAACCAGCTTCTTTTGGATACATAAGTTAAGTCTCTTAATTTGGATTTCAATAGCCTCAGTAATAGGTAGTAGACGAACTCTTAAGGTGAAGTTAAGATTAATTGATGTGTGATAGATGACTTTGAAAGCCTCGTTAACGTCAATCTTGTTTTCTTGTTATGTCTGCGCCTGCTAATTTGTAATGACGATAATGAACTCGACTGGTGCCCTAATATACCTATTTACCCGTGGTACCTTCCGATTCACTGAGCCACGCAAATATCAAAAGACAAAGGTTGGCCTGTGACTTTAGGGTGCTGTACTCTACTGTACCGTATATTTATTAGGAAAACGGCAAAGGTATTTACGTATTTGTTTTTACGAAAATAAAGTTAGCACACAGCCGTGAGAAATGAATAGTCGCATAATCAATCACAATGTGCGTGAAAATGAATATATACTATTTTATGCAGGATCCTATCAGTTCTGTATCCACAAGATGTGATAGGATAGCACTATGAACAGATTTTGTTTGTCTTTTACTTAACCATGCAAGATGATGTTAAAAAATCTTTCGATAAACACGCCTAATTGGACAGCCTATATAATTATATTATTATTATTATTAATTGTATTATCTTCTTCTCTCAGCCCCTATTGAATTTCTACCCCTTATTGCCAATGTTGTCAACTTGACTCTCGTTCACTTTTAGTTGATTTCTACTCAATACCGTCAATTTTGATATCAAAGATTCGATGTTATTTGAAGAAAAAAGCACTTCAACACTGTCAATAACGACAATGCTTGAATTATATTGGATATAATACTGTAGGACGTGATGTTATTATCTGTTATTGTCGAGGTACGCCACTAATTTTTTTCCCGAGGTTTATGACAACTGCTGATAAATGTTTAGAGACAACTGATATGATATGTGCGTCTGTGGCACAGTGGTTAGGATTCTCGCCGACCATGCATATGGTCCGGGGTTCGAGCCCACGCCGACGCACACCTGATATCTATGGTCGGCCTGCGAAATTTGGGCTAACGATATCCACGCTGAAAATTCCATACTTGTACCAAAAATACGGTGTGGAATCAAGCTGTAATCAAAAATAAATAAAATAAAATAATAAAATTAGTAAGAACATGTGCAGAAAATATCGGGCGATTAATAGCAGCATATATATATATATAACATATTCCTCATCATTTCGACTATAAACGGAAACCGGAAAAGCTTTATTAAATTTAACTAATACAGAGGTCAAACATACATCAAAACATGCTTTCGTGTTTAAAACATTTAAAAGTTATTTATTCTATTTATTTTTATGCATATATAATACGGTTATATAGCCAAGAAGAACTAAACTCATCCTATGAACTTATCTTCCATTCATATTTATAAAATTATAATATAATTAATTGTAATTAAAATTATTTTAGAGGTGAATGTAAAGAATGCCTCTTACTTACCGGTTTACCATCTTTTAAACGACGCCCAGATCTTACATAACCAAAACCACCTTTACCAATCACAGGACCCATTTCATATTTAGATAAAAATAAATTAGAGTTTGAGAGTAAGGTTGGTAAAGTATGAAAATGTGTATCTTTTGATTCTTCATTAGAATAGGTACACACTGGTTCCTCTACTGTTGAGTGCTGTATGTAGAAAAAAAATGGGACATTTACTTTTGGTTATGAAGGATTAAGTTATAAGTGAGCAAATCTTTCAGGATAATAAATAAAGTAATTGTATTACGTAATATAACTATTTTGTAAGTGTATTGTTTGTTTAGTGCTATCCTGTCAGAGCTGAGTCTAGATTTTTAAACAGTAATGCGAAAATGTATTCTATTTCACCCTGGGCGTATACAACGCCAACTTTCTAAAATAGTCTGTCAGTTGTTTCTGAATAAGATTATGTTTTTATGGAGGGATTTGAATTAACCTCAGTACACATTTTGTCACGAACCAGTATTGGTTAAAGGGATCACTGAAAACCAGCGAGCATTGGACTCTTTGGAACTCTTCATCAATGTACTCTCACTTAATTTTTCTTTATCTACAGGAATAATGACAATGAACTTTCACAGTTAAGTCATATGGTATATTTCTACTAGGGTTTGGAATTTCCCTTTTATGAACATGAATATTTCCCATACTGAAAGTTTTATCATCAGGTTATTGAGTCGCTACAAATTCTTTTTTATTACTTATAAGTTGTGGTATATAACTATGGTAAATGACTGAGCATTATTGTACATCAAAACCAAATTGATCATTTCGTATAAATAAGCAGATTTGATTGATCATTGAGGGATAACAAGTGACATGTGCCTAGTGTATATTGAAGGCATGAATAGTTTAATGGTAATGCCTTTAGCCGTATCATTAAGTGATTCACGTTTGAATCTCCTAGGGGACATCATTTCTGTGAATTTTCAGATACACCTTACTAATAAGTGGCACTCAGCACGAAACCTAAGTCCACAACTTCCCACTGATCACCTGCAGTTATTCATTTCTTTTATTTAACCACTATCAAACCAGTACCAGGAAGGCAAATTGACATAAGCTCTTATACTAGAGTTGTAAACCAGTTCAAGTTGACAAGAACAGTAAAAAGGCAGAAAAATAGCATAGTTCGGCAAAAGTGTAGCGTAAAGTGATATGCTGAAATGAGTTTATTCCTCAATAAAATATTAAAGTTGGCATCTTTATGATATCTTTTCATTGTATTTGTTGTGAGCCTGAATAAAGCAAGTCTTAAAGAAAACGGGGGTAATATTATTCTCTAAAGTGAAATATTAATTCTTCTTTTGACTGTGTTTATATTCTGATAACAATCTTTTTGTCTACTGGGAAGTAATTGAACACTTCTTGTTAGGTGTAATTACTAGAGAGCTTATGGATTTTTAGCCGAATCACTTCCGTTAATAAATCAAATCACATCCTGAATAGAAAAACTAATGACCAGTATGCACTTCAATAATAAGTGACGCATTAATATAAATTCCGGTACTTGAGTGTATTGGGTCGAAGTTTACTTCTTGTCAGCTCTATTAGTAATTCTACTGAAGAAGATGTGACTTACACATTATAAAGTTTCAGTTCGATGTTCTAAACACTGTGAGATCGTTTTTAATGATTTCATAGTTTTTCTTCACTGGTTGCATGATTTTATTTGAATTATATTCAGATTAAGTTCCTGAATAAAGTTACCCAATTCGATTGGACTATCTAAATTTATTTGAAGATAAGTATTAGCACAGCTGCATACTGACATGTTTCGCTAGATATGGAATCATTTATACTCTAAGGCAAGAAAACAATGGTGATAATGATTGAACAATGAAATGTTTTTGTTACAACAAAAATACTGAGAAAGTCGGTCTGTGATGATACAATAAATTTTGGGTCATATAATCTATAATCTCTAAACACAGGTTTCGATCACCACCAAGATCCCAGCAAGACAGCCTAATATTCATTATATGGTTGAAATCGACAGCTAGTGATTTGATGAACTGCCACCAAATTTGCTTTGTTTATCTTCTTTTCTATCTAACCTAATTCACCTTTCTCTAACGGTGTGATTCGGTAAACACTGGGTAACCATATCTGTGTGAATGCATAAAATAATAATAATAATATGAAGTACAATTAAAAACTAAAATGTTTGTGATTATAATCGTAGTTAAATGTCAAGTGTAGGATTAGTAGACAAATAGAATAAAACAAAAACAATACGTAATATTGTGTGAAATTTAATAGCGTAGAATTTATCGTTGTAAAAAGAGAAGAGTTGATTTAGAATGACAAGTGGAACAAGTGAAATAATATCGGGGACAGTTCAAAGTGAGAATAGTAACAGTAACAATTGACGTAATAAGGAAGAATATATAAATTGAATAGACAAAATGAAAAAATGAAAAATTGGTTGAGCTAAAATATGATTGGGGATTACCATACTTTAGGATAGAGGAATTAAGACCATGAAAGTTGGAGGGGTTGAACGAAATTTTTCTCTACACAGAGATCTGGCTTACCTGTCTCGATAGCCAAAGATGGCTTCAGCAATACACGTGAGTCGGGTACGTAAGGATTTGGGTAAATTACTCTTTGCCTTGTAGATGACTTTAAAGGCGGAGGCTATAGAGGTAGGGTGATCATTATCGACCAGATGTTCAATGATCGCGCTTCTTATTGCTCCACTTACACCTTTTCATAGCCATGCAGGATAGTGTTCTTGCACCCTCTTGGACAAAACTCGAGTCGAACGACCGATATACCTAGCTCCACACGGGCAGGTGAATTGATAAACACACATAGAGTTGGTCAACAGCGAGATCTTGTCCTTCAGGCTATTGAACAGTAATGGTCAGCTAGTAAAGGCTATTCTCAGGGATGTAGCAGGGAATTTTCTCATATTATTGATAAGACCTCTAAACTTAGGAATATTGTTCAGAGATTTCATCCTATCACATTATTTATACCAGGTAAATGATTCCATGGGTTGACCTCTAGTTTGAATAGTACACTCCTATGAATAATTGATTTAGCGATATCGGCCTTAGTTGTCACTTTACTGTCAAAACATCTGTTTCTCAAAATAATTCTAATAAAGCCTCAATAACCATTAATCCATTAATTCAGTGTAGGTTTTGATCAGATCAGAGCAACTTTATCAAGTTTGATAACGGATTGATTTTAATCAAAAAACCACTGAAAACTTGGGAATGCCAACTTCGTCCAAGCTTAGTAATCTCTCACAGCACGTATCTACAACCACACGGTGGGTCATAACGAGGCGAGCTCGCCAACCATGCAGCCACTGTAACGGAACCGAATGACCAATCCATGAACTCTAATTTCTGTCAGTCCATGATATTTAGTACCGCCACCAGCCAATATCATCAAAAAGTATTTGTCTTCATACGCGACCTGATGGACCTTACTGGTGGCGACTTCACAGTAGAACTACAGACAAATTCGTCCTGTAATCATCCACTAGTGGATATCGGACTGATTCCCAAGTTTTAGTTTGTGAGGGTTCGATAGGTTGCAAATTTAATCATGGATTGATATTAATTAATTAGAGAATGACCAGAAAGAATTAGCAACAGGAAATCTTGCAGTGGAACAAATCAACCAAGAGCAAATCGCTCAAATAATACATAGGAGAAAACGGAGGTGGATGGGGTATACGTTGCAGAGGCCATCGAATGACATCGCGCGGAATGCAGGTCATCGCTCGAGTGGAATCAAAATGGGGAGCGACGAGTGGGTCGTTGGTGCGAGAGTGACATGGAGGAGGTCGTGTGAGTTGCAGGAGGATATCACAGACTTTGGCCAATCGTGGATCTAGCTGAAGAGGACTGGGGAGAATAGAAGAAAGTGAAGATGTGTTGTTGAAGCCATATGCTTCACTCAGAACCTAAGGGAATAATAATAATACTTGGAGAACTGTTGGAAAGGACAGATGGTCCCAAATAAAGGAGAAATAACTGTCCTATACTTCCTGGTTTTCATTTTTTCTCTTACTTATATCGATCGGTAATGAAACTTGAAACTAATCGAATTCCTACAAACTAACACTTGATAAAATTTTACCAACTTATAAGCGATGAATAAACACTTTTATGAAAACAAAATTCAGCTAACCTTTTGTAAGTAATCATTTCTTTCATCGTCATCATTGCTACTTATATATTCATTATTTATGCCGTTGTCTTTAATAGCTGATAATTTTACTAAATTTTCATCTTCGCTCAAAGATAATTCATTTGTATTTTGTTGTTGTAAATAATTATGTGTTGTAGGCAGATTATTAAAATGATTATAATTTAATAATGTAGTATTATTATGTTGACAGATATCTGTATGTGGATAGATTGGAAATTCTTTAGAACAACTTGTATTACGCTCCGTTTTTGATGAACATGATGACATATCATATAAGTATAACTTATCTTGTTGGGAAGCTGTTCTACGTATATTAGACGGGTTAATATCAAACTCTCCGATGTATTTATATACTCTACATGGACAAACCTAAATTTTGAAAAGTAAAAAAAAACACTAGAAAATGAACAAACCAGAATAAACACTGACAAAAAAAATCTAATAAGGAAAATGGGAACTCTTCACATTAGACCTTAGTTGGAAACGATATTCCTTTTCTCAGCGTAACGATATTATTTACAGAATTAATAAAACTAGGAAGCACTGGATGGCTGTTTTATCCTAGTTTGGGATTCTTCAGCAGTGCTCACTCATGCATGACCTGCCATGGATCGAACTCAGGACCTTCTGATCACTAGTGAATTTCAACTTCTATAGAAGAATCCTAAATTGGGACAAAACAGTTGTTGAGTTGCATTTAGCTTTCATTCTTCAGCTAATGTTAGTTTGCTGTGAAATTCACGCTGAAATAAATTGAAAATCCTACCAAATTAGACATTTGTATATATTTTTTCATCCCTTTCTAAAAGAGAAGCTAATCGTCTCAGAAAAACAAATTATTTGAGACAACTGAAGAGTAATAAACTGTCACGAAAGCTGATTTTTTTAAAGGTTTAACTGAAGACATCAATTAACGATTAATTACAAATAAGATAAATTAGAGCTTAGTTAAATTCAAGTGAAGGATTTTATGATTCTGCTTTACTTCACCTATACTGACAGTTTATTATAGTTTTTTGTTGATATTACTATTTGAAAATAATTAATCGCTCTATTCTAATGCCATCCTTAAATATTTTTCATTTTTCTGCCAATTTATATTATCCACAAGGCATTACTGATACCCGTGGTACAAGTGGTGGAGCTTGTGGCACTTGAGAGCCTGTGGAAATAGCATCACTTACTTGGGACACAGGAAAGTCTATCTGACGAGTTCAAAATATGATGAAACATACGTCCATAATTCTACTGCTAACCATCATCCACGTAATATATCTATCCTTTCCTGCTTTGCCATTGTATCACCCTCATATTGCACAGTCTACCTACATTTCCTATCATATCCTTTCTTACCTGTCTTATCTGAAATTTCTCACCACTATGAACCATAATCGTACTGTATCAGAATAATTTAAAAGTTCACTTGTTAGATTTCGTCATCAACCTGTATTAGTTAGAGGGATCATTGAAAGCCAGACAGCACACTCAAAATCTATTTCGTCCCAGAATGGGGCTCTTCAGAAGTGTGAATCCAAGGTCCCACTAGGGGAGAACTTGAGTCTTATAGATTTTGACATCACGTTTGCTGACCATTTAGCCACTTGATCTGGAAGTCAGTGACCAGTGAATTCGAACTTCGTCACTTCGTCATATAGCACTACCCTCACCAATACCTGCGATAAGCATTCACTTCACCTTTATACGGTTGATAAGCTATAATTCATAAGTTATTGAATTCAGACCTAAGTGTCTGAACAGTTAACAAACTTCTTGTCGTTACCTGAGGGTCCTGAATCTGACCCCTATTGCGGTAATGGATGTGCGCCGATGAAGAGATCTAAATCAGGACGAAGCATATATCCGGTGCTATCTGGCTTTTAGTAATCTGTCTAAATAAAGTTGGCTCCTAATAAAATCTGACAGGTGAACTTAAGTTAATCCAAATAACAACAAGCCTCATGATCTAAATGTCAATTTATTTTTTGTCTAAAGCGAATATAAATTAGGTCTTGTCGTCTCAATAAGAATTTGTACATTTATCTGTGATAATTAATGAAGTCATTTACTATGTCATTTTGTTTCATCCCAATATACTGTTGTATAAACAAAACATACTTAATTGTTGTTGATTTTATCACTGAACTTGAACAGTTTTCTTCTCATTTACTGATAACATCTTAAACTATTAAAATATACACAAATTTTAAACCTAGTGCTCTTCTGGAAGATTTAGAGTACACGAAGTAAAATGAATTCAATCCAACCCAAAATTTATGAAATCAACAATTTTAAGGAACTCTATCATTTCTTCAGTGGTTAAACAATTGTAATGTATAGAAAAGATTGCGAGTTTGGTGTAGAACTTTGAATATACTTGTGGAATTTGAAGTTAACACACCTCACCATAGCATAAAGTATGTACAAGAACAAATGTTTAGTAAAAAGAAAATATTACGACAAAGCAAAAGGGACACGAAAAGGTAATTAAATGAAAAACAATAGCTTCATAAAAAGTTCTAAAATTTTTCTAGTATTAATCTGTATCATGTCATGTATTTGTGCAATACACTACACGACCCAGGTAAATTACATCTCCTAGTCGTTTTCTTAAAATTCATGAAGGGAACTAATTGTTTTAAAAATGTTAATGTTTGAAAACTTTAAAAATTGTGTTTAGTTCTCAGTTGTTTATTTTTTCTACTGAAAGTTTTATATAGGTGAATTAGGATATTTCGAGGACATTAGTGAATCTTTTGATTGCACACTAGTCAGTAACTAGTGTAATGTACCTAGTCCTATCTTCACTGCAGACTGAATTCTGTCAGTCAAGCTTGCAATGGGGCAACCATACTAAGTGGCTCGCCATTACGGTGCACTGTGAATTGTTGGTATTAGATGGTTGGAGGCAATTGGCAGGAAGCCTTGGACCTACGTTTCGTGCTAGTTGGCACTCACCAGCAAGGCGTATCTGCACCCTTGAAGGAACTCATATCCTTTCTGAGATTCGAACATGCATCACCCAGTGCTGCAGTCAGAGACATTACCACTGAGACATGAGCTCCTTCAAGGTTGCAGATACGCCTTGTCGTTGAGTGCCAACTAGCACGAAACGTAGGTCCAAGGTTTCCTGTCGATTGCCTTCAACCATCTAATACATTAGTGGGTCGCCTAAAGGCTCTTCAGATTTCATGGTCGAATCAGAATAAACCTTATCCTGATCAGGCTAATTTTAAGTTACTTCTCAATTTGGTTATGATTAATCTGACGAAGCATTTTCAAATGTGTTACACATTGTTCCAGTAAATCCTGGTTATATCATTCATAAAATCTGGTCATCCAACCAGAGTGAACATTTTGCTAAGACTTGAGACATTTCGCTACTACACATAAATCTCAGCCTTGCTCCAGGTAACTTGGCAAAAATGAACTGGATATTCGCAAAGTTGTCGATGTGGTTTTTTTCCCTGCGCTGGGTGATTTACTTGTGTAACTAACATCGTTTTTCTGGATAACATATTTAGCATAGACTTCAATATGAATTGAGCTTATTTGAATTTTCCATTTACGAAAGTTGTCTATTCACAGTATATCTTTTCCATTAGCTTATGACAGAAATACTAGAAAGCAATTGTATCCAGTGTTGTATGCAAAGACCTCAAAAATTGAATTATTTATGTAACAAAATGTATATATGTTTGTAAAGTTGTCTGTTTGTGAATCAATCACCCTTGTACGGCTTTCCTACTCGAAGGGCGATCAATAAAATTTATACATATGTATATTGTGGGAAGAAAATAGACTTAGAAAAGATGTCGTTTACCAATCCTGCTGTAAAATTCAGTTGACTAGTTAAGTAAAATAAGCCAGGAAAGTGTGTAGACTTTGTCCTCTACATTTAAGGGGAATGGTAAAAGCTATCTCTATGTCGGACAGGGGTGATGCAGTTTGTATTCCAGAATTTTTTGAAATGTTGCTGATGAATTGTTACATGCATTTAACAGGGTTATAGGTAAGCTGTGTATCCAAGATAATTCCACAGGAATGGTGTAAGCCGTTGTTCATTCCAGTCGGTAAGAAAAGAAACAAATCATAGGTAGATCAGCTTGATTTATCTAAGATCCTAGGCTTTTTTCAAGTCTGATAATGGTCTGATGCCATTTAGAAAACTCCTGAAAATTAGAGAGTACTGGACAGCTACTTCGTCCTAGTTTGGCAATTATCGGCAACACTCACCCATCAGCGGGATTCAAAACCGGGAACTTTCGGTTACAAGGTAAGCTCGTAGTCGATTCAGCCACTGGGACTTGACGAAATGGCAAGCTCATGAATTCTAACTTCCACCAGTTCATGATTTTAATGCAACCACTAGCCAATGGTCATCACAAATTGGTAAGGGTTAGAATTCATACGCTGGCCATTGAGTCGGGTCCTAGTGGCTAAATGGACTATGAGCTTACTTTGTAATCTAAAGGTCCCGGTTTCGAACCCCGGTGATGGGTGAGTGTTGCCGATAATTCCCAAACTAGGACGAAATAGCTGTTCAGTACTTTTCACTGGTTTTTAGTGGTTCTCCAACTAATGTTAATCCGTGGTCAAACTTGAAAACGAAAACCAAATCCCTACAAATAAGCACATGAAAATCTCAGTTTTTGTCAGAGATGTTTACTTTCACTGTTTTCTCTTAATTTTATCACAGATTACTTATTGGTTTAAACCCGGTCAACCTTGATTTGACATCAGAGGTGTATTTCATTCATTTAGAGTATACATGATATACAGTCTTTTTTCGCGAAGATACCAAAAAACACAATCTTTTGAATAACCTGGGCAAATGTTGAGTAGATTTAGCAAGTATATTGTCATTATCATGGTTTCTTGGGCGTCCTGTACTCTCGTTTTCAATACAAGGTGATGGAACATGAGTAGTTTATACAGACTGGAAGTCTGACGATAGGATATGAGATAATCAAGAGTGTTGACCATCTTGGAAGCAGAGGAGTGTTAACTGATGACTACTCAACAAGGATACAGAGAAATTGATCGCCACCAATTGATTTGTATTACTCTATGCATGAAATTACAGGACAAGTGTACCGAACACTAGTCCACTTTCACATAGTTTAAAACTATGAGATATGAGCATTGAATGAAAATATAAAGCATGCACAGTATTTTGTCGTAGGTGTCTCTATCCACGATACAAAATTTTCATATAAGCGGCATACTGATAAGTATCAAAGGAAAGTTAATAGATGAGACTATAAAACTTTACCAAATTTTCCCACAAATCTGTTGTGAACATCAAGGCACCAACTTTCCCGTAGATCATTGTTAGATTGAATAATATAAAGGCATAAAATAGTTGTTTT